CTGGTATGAAGTCATACTCTGATGTTATACCTGTGTGCAGAATCACACTCTTCGATGATACCTGACCACCAGTGGTCCCAAAGGCAGACAGACTTTGTTCTGTGCCCACCACAGTTCCCGAATCCAGGACTTACTGGGGCCACTTTCAACTCACTAGTCTGCCACTTTCTGAATTCTCTTAGGTGGTTAAGTAGACTTGAAGCCTAACATTACATTTTTTTCTGGAATGAGAAACACTATTTTATAAGTTGAAGATTTCCAGATGTGATGGTTAGTGTTCTTCCCATAGGTGGCAAAGCACTCGGCCACAAAGGGCAGCTAGTGAATATTTCTTCAATGATTAATTGGTTCACAAACACACCCAATATCACATTTAAGCATACTTTTAACCTCCCCCCGCAAAAAAAAAAAAAAAAAAAAAAAAACTCAATGTGACAAAACTAATAAGTCAGGATAGTCTTTAAATAAACTTAACTCTTGGAATTAGAACTATGCACATGCCTTCCCTGCCTGGTAGGCATGTAAAGGGTAATTGTTTTGATTATGAGGAAGTCAACTAAGGCAGCTGTTTTGAACTAAATTATTTATGAGGTATGGTCATGCATTTCAAATGTAAGTATGTGTATTCCTAATATGATTTCTGGTTTTTATATTCAAAGTGCTTAGTTTTAGAAACAGACACAAATAGGACATACTTATTACAGTGAAAGACAAATAAATTGAAAATTTATCAGACTTTTCTACCAGAAATGAAATATTCCCTATTTTCAAATGAGAATATTAAATCTCTAAGACATGTTTTATTTTGACATTAATGTTCCATTTTTTTAGCTTATGTATGACCAATAACTTTTCTACACATACATGCATGCAATCAAACTTGTTAAAAATGAACAGCGGAGATTACTTTTCTACCTCATAATTTAAATGGAAAACTAGCTAAGCTTCGTCCTGGTTATATGTAATTCCTTAATTTACAAACTGGACTCAGCAACAATTATGAGAAGGAAAAATTATGTTTAATGCACTAAGTTTACACTACTGTTGGTACCATATACACATTTGAGAATATTTAGCTGCATTATTTGAAAAATTCTCTTATTATTTTTCTGATTTTGCTATTTCAGGGTGCTATCTCACTATGGTTGATCCCTTTTTCCTCTCCCTTTTTACTTGATCTTGTTTTTTCTTGATTATCAAAGCCAATGATTCATTTGACGGCCATTGCTGTGCAGTGTTAGCCTTGAGATTCTAACAAGTTTAATGGGGAGAAAGGAGAAGGGAAATAGAAAGAGCTTAACTGTATCAAACTAATGGACGTCCGTGACAGAATGGTATAAACTTTCACTTTTCTATTTTGGTACAGCATCCATAATAATCAAGGGTACACCCTGGCTGATCAATGCTTCCTATTAGGAAATGCCTCTCTCAATCTGGGAAACTTTCAACTTAATGGACATCGTCCTCAGTGATCAAGAAGACAGGAAACCAGGCATGTTTGTGTCCTGACTGTCAGCTTTCTGTGCCATCCCATAGACTGGTAAAGCTATCTGGCAGCAGAACTCTGGGCAAACAAGCCTTCAATTACTAGCTCCTGACTTGGGGACAATGATCGACTGGCTGTACATCCTCTTCCCCTGTTTTCATCTGCAGGGTCCTGCAATCCCCACTGGTGATTCTAATCACCTTCAGGGGACAAGTTCTCAGATCCTTTTAACCCTATGATAGACTTGGGATGAAAGATGTACGTAGCATTGCCCTTCCTTTTTCTTAATTGAGTTATCTTTTATTGTGGTAAAATGCACACAAATTAAATTTAGCGTCTTAACATTTCTAAGTGCACAACTCACACTGTCATGCCACCATCCAGATAATACTCTTTCACCTTACAAAAAAAACTATACCCATTACACACTAATTCCCATTCCCACTTCACCCCAGCCTGGTAACACCACTCTACTTCCGTCTCTCTGGTTTTGACTACTCTAAGGACCTCATGCAAGGGAATCATAAGCATTTGTCTCTGTCCCCCTCCTTTCTTCGTACCTTTCCTAACTCCACTTAATGGACTTCAAACATCATTTCTCCCATGGAAGAAGTCATTCTTTTGATCTTCTTTTTTTCCCTTTCTTTCTGGGAATTTTTTTTTTAAAAAATTGGGCTGTCTCCTTCTGTCCTTCTTCATTCCATTTATGAGCATTCCATTTTTTTGTGAAAGGAAAACATTATCTGGATGATTATCTGATTCTTTCATAGAGGTCTGAGTTTTGAAGGGTAATAAACCACAACAAAGAACTACAGCTGCCAATATCTAAAATCTCAGAAATGGCTGAAAGTTCTTTTCAAAGTCTCCATGAAAGTTTTAAGTTAACTCTTCACTCGCCCTAATTAAAATTATTCCTCAACAAGACACGTCTTTTAATTCACTTGTACTGCTTTTTTCTTGGAGGCTGAATCTCTGTGTCTCAATAATAATGTTTTTCTAATATTATTTTCTTTATTCTGAAGGGTGTATATTTCAACTCTGTTTTAAATAAAAGAGGCTTTTAAGGACTAGAGTCTGAGAACTGAATCATGTTTAACTCTGCTATTTCTCTAGGAATGTGTTCTAAGTTCCACCCAGTTCCTGAGAAGTGAATTTCTAAAACACAACCCAGTTATAAACTGGAAACTGTATTAAATGCTTCCCCATGGATTTTCACTAGCAACTCAAAACTCAAAGTTGTTGACCAAATTTATGACACAGGACACACTGAACCATTAAAAATAGCCAAAAACCATGGCAGCCACCACTACCTCCAGATGCCCTGGTGGAATATATGGCATCTGGTCATCAGAGAGCTCAACACCCATGAGCCAAAATGCTGATCCTACAGATTCTGTGAATATTCTGTGACTTGATGATCCATCCATCTGATATTTTAAACATTTTTAATTTTCAGAAGTTGACAAAATTATGTATGTTTATTGCGTATAACTGATGTTTTGACATATGTTACATTGTGGAATGGCTCAATCAATCAAGATAACTAATGTATGCTTTTCCTCATATACTTATCATTTTTTTGTGTGGTGAGAAACCCACATGGTTTTTTTGTTCCTGTTTTTTGTTTCCTGCTGCATATTGAAGAAACATGTTTAATTAAGACACATAAAGACTTTGAAAACCCTTGGGGGAGGGGACTGAAGTTGAAAATGGATTAAAGCAGGCCAGAAACTATAGAAATAAGACCAGGGCAGAAGGCAACCAGTTAATTGTGTTATTCAACAGGAGCTACTTACAGAAGGTATCAGAAACCATTAAAGAGCTGCAAAACAGAACATTTTTAAAAAAAGAAAAAGAAAGAAAAAGATAAAAGCCCAGCTCAGTCTTAAAATGCCAATTGGAAGATCACACATTACCAAAGTCTCTGTGCTGGGAATGTTGATCTACAAGGTTCTACACTGAACAGGAAGGGCAAACAGAAATCAAGATCAAGTTACTATCAGGGCAACAGATATGCTGACCAGCAACCGACTTAATACTTCCACAGGATCTCCCATAGCACGTGCACTCTGTTGGGCAGAGTGTGTATCTAAAAAACACAGGTTGGTGAGGTCCTAGCATATAGTCACATGCACCAAGGTAATGCCAATTCCATATGCTCTTCTCAGCTCAGTTTCCTGGAAACAGTACTCATAGAGAATGCACAACAGCTATTCTCTGGGGTCCACATCAGGGTGGAGAAATCTTGGATCTTGTGCATAGGAAAACATGCTTACCACCTAGAAACTATAAGGTCTATGAGAGGGGGAAATTGTTTTTTTCCCTTCCCAGCAAATCACCCTTTCTAGGAAATCAAGTTTCTCCCTATTAGTCTCTTGGATTAATGTTCTCACATTGTGTGTGTGTTTTTTCATTCATCATTTAAAACCAATCCCCAGAAGTTAAAGTGATTCCAGAAAATAAATCAACATGGCACCCAACAGAGGGGCGGTGGTATTCCTCTTAAACCTACCCAGGGTGTGTGTGGGGATGGCATGTGGGAGGCTGAGGATCAAGGAGCAAGCTCACTGGTCTGCTAGCCTGGTGTCTCAGGTTCACTGTGGAGGAACAACAGCTACTCTGCTTGAGAGAGAGAAATGGTCAGATATCAGATGGAGCACTTGGCAGCCCCCAGGGATTGGAACACAGCTCTGCATGGTCCCTGTCTGGCTGGTAACTTCCTGCCAGGGAAGACTGCCAAGTGGCTTGTGACAGCTGTGCAGTGAGCAAGTCTCTGGGGTTCTTTGGTGTGCTGCCATTTATGACCTGCCTGTCTGCCACTCGTGGGAAGTAGCAGAAAGGTTCAGATGCTGAGGGACCACATTTTCCATCAGCTCTCATCTTTCAGAACTTTGCCTGCCTATCTTGTCCTTTAAGGTGGGAGTCATGGAAGATGGTCCTTGGCTTTTCTGATCAACGGGAACCTATCGATTCTGTGTATGAAGGAGCTCTGTACTTCACTCTGTGTCCAGCCACCGCTGGTTTTCAATGAACATATTTGTTTACTCCCCTGTTGTCATAGTAATTGATATCTGTCAAGTGTTACCACTAAGAAAAACCAACTGCCTGAATTAAAGGTAACATTTTAACCATTTACTTCTTTAGAAAAAGGAATTTGAAAATCTTTATTTATTTATTTATTTATGTGTGTGTGTGTGTATGAGTGTGTGTGTGTGTGTGTGTGTGTGTGTGTGGTGCTGGGAACTGAACCCAGAGCCTTGTGCATGCCAGGCAAGCACTCTAACAACTGAGCTACATCCCCAGCTTGGAATTTAAAAATCTTAAGGCTTACTACTAGAAGGTTTATACTTTACAGGATTTTAATAAGGGAATACTCTTTTGTATTCTTTCAAAGCAGTTAACTTAGAGTTGCTGATATGTGAATTCAATTTTCCATAAAGAGTTACCTAAAGGTTATCTAAGATTCTTCTCTGAAGGAAAGGTGCAAAGTTAAAAGTAAAATTTCAGACATTACCTTTCAGCATCATTCGTCCAGTGGCTCCTCCAAAAGTATTGAGAAGGCCACTTCTTGCTCCTAAAGATGTGGTTGCCTCCAGGAGAGAACCGGTGATGTACTGAGCTATGGAAGTCCTTTGGAGGGTGGCACGGTACTCACACACGGTGTCTTGGACACATTGCTTTAAGCACAGACAAATGCTAATCCCTCCATGGACTGTTTCAGAGGCTGGAAGCTTTGGTAAGAAATGGAGAAGAGATCCAACTGTATTTTCTGTTTCTTCTCCTCTTCTCACTGCATTGTAGATCTGGGAATAGCACAAAGCACAGGAAGTATTAATCTAGTTTCTTAGAAAAGCAAATTAACCTGTTGACAAAATGCCAGCATGACTTATTAAGAAAGAAGGCCCAGTCGCTGGAAGTGCAAACACTCTTGGGCACTGGACTCATGCATTAACCTGAACATTCTACAGACACTGTCTATTTGGAAAAGCTATGTGTAGTTATGAAATAGGCCATTCAAACAACCCTGCTATCAAACAGAGCACTTAAAGTTGTACCAACCAAAAATACATTCAGCTCGAATTTCTCCCCCTCCACAGGAGAGCAAAGCTCTTCTGCAAAGAGACAGGGCAAACCTTCTTGTCCTTGCCGACTATCCTGCATGACTGTCTCATGCCTATCTGCCTCCACAAAACATTCATGGGGAATCTTTGCTCCATGCTCAAATTGAAGTGAGGACAAGATAGTCAGGGGGAAAAAGAACCTCTCTATTTCACTCTCAGGCATAATCATCCTTTATCAGCTGAGGACACTCTTTGAATCTTTTTTTTTCCCTTCCTCCTCCCTTACCTCCCACATCCAAAGAGTTGACAGCTCCTGCCCACTCTTTCTGCCCTGTCTCTGTCACTATCATGATTTTATCTCTCTTGATCACTTGAACTCTCCAAGAATGATCTCAAGAGGACTATACTATTGGGACAGATTCCCCATCATGCCCTGGTCCATTCTAATGTAATAGCTCAACATGATGAACAGCTCTCTACAAGGCACTGTGTTGAGAGACACAGGGCAGGCATTTCTGTTTCTGTCATCTTGGAGCCTGTGAAGGGCTGCTGGGAAAGGGATTTCTAAAAGGCAAACATGTGGAAGACTGTGGTGCAAGGACACTTTTGCTGGCTATGATCAGTGTCTCTGGAACCAAAGGGAGTACAAAGCTCTTCCTAAAGTCCAAGGTGTTTATACTAGAGATGAAAGTGAATTCAACTCAGGCAAGAGTTGTGCTACTGTGTAGAAGGCAAAAAAAATTACACAGTAACTCCTGGCAGTAAACTAAACAAAACCAGAAGAATCTGGTGAAAGGTAAACTTGTATCCATGGGAAAAGTGGCATGGTTTGGGCAAGGTCAAAAGCAACCTTCCTGCTAAGGCCACTGGATGCAGAATCCATGTGATGCTGTACCCCTCAATGATTTAAACTAATTGTTGCAAGAAAGTTTTGGGTTTTGTCAAGTGTTCTGGAGAGCCAGAGTCGTCCAGACAGTGCATGGAACAGCAGGGAGAAATGTAGCACTGGGTGAGCAATCTACACTCCGACAGAAGGTTTACTACCCTGAGTTGTCTTCACCATGCTGCCTTGAGCACTTGCCTTGGTTGACTTGTCAATCATTCATCAAACCAACAGATAGTTATTTGGATTTATATATCAGTCACTGCCTCGAGACTGGGTAAATTAGACAGCTTCTCCACTCAAAGAGCTTTCAGTCTTATAAGGGAGACAGAAAGCAAAGAGCTCATGATAGGGTGGCAATGCCACCCTCTTTGGTGGCATCAGTGTCCAGGAAAGGGAAGACCCTCACATATCCTCCAGGCATTCATGTATCCCATGGTGCTGCACACTCCAAACTGCACCTTGACCGGGGCCCTCAAGAGGTCCCCTATTGAGCTGTGCTGGGTCCTTTTGAGATTCTCCATTGTACCCAGAACTTCCATAAAATTCAAACCACAGTGACTTTAACCAGATTTCTACTCTAATTTCCTCTGCCTGTGGATATACCCTGGCCACTTGGAGGCAGATGGTGAATTCAGAGACTTAATTCTCTGTCATTAAATTTCTAGTGGTCAGTATGGCCATGAAGATGGTGTGTTGGGACACAGCCCAATCTTTGGAGCCAGGTATGTGGGGTTGTGTACCTAGCTCTGCCTTGACCCACTAGAGAGCTAGTCATAAACATGAGCATATGGACTTGAATCTTTTGAGACAGTTTCTTCCTCTGTAAAATGGGGGTAATTATATGACTCCTTAGTGACACTGTGAGATTTACTTGACACACGACGTGCTTGACCTAGTATCTAGAAGTGGTGCCTGTTACTATTGGGTAAGTCAAAGGACAGAATATATTCTCCCACCCTCAAAGAACTACAGAGCAGAGTCTATGCAATTCAGTGAGATGGGTTATTCCTGTGCTCTCATGGTGTTGCTGGACAGCATCATCCTAGCCTTATCTGGCTGTGTTGTGAAGGCCAATGTGGGGAGACAGCTACACGGATCAGGGTGTGATTTTTTTCACTCAGCTCCAAATCATAAAGGCAATCCCCAACACACTAAGGTCCCTGCGAGTGTGTCAGAAGTAAATTCTCTAGACATTAGGGAAAAGAATTCTCTGTGAGGATTGATAGCTAAGGGCTTCAGCAGGGAAATCAGGGTTTGACCTGAGCCTTGGAAAGCAGTGTGGCCCAAACTGGAGCAGGTAGGGGAAGTAACTCACAGTGGAAGCAACAGTGAAGAGGCGGGAAAATGCAGATTGTGTCCTAGAACAGCACATAGAGCAAGGTGTTTAGAGCAGCACGTGATTGGAGGTTATAAGGGCAATGAGAAAGCTCAGAGGAAGTGATAAGATAGAGCCTGGACTGTTAAAGCAAAGAGCTTAACCCATCAGAGGTGGGCAATCCCTGGTGCTTTTTGTTGTTATTTTCACCACAGGAATGATGCTAGGAGGCTTTGTTCAAAAACCAACGTGTGGGATGGTTCCTGGTTCTAATGGTTTGCCTGTATCCTTCACTGGCCAAGTTGCTCTGCTGGCCCACTGAACCCTGCCTGCAATTGTCTGCACTCCACTCTCCACATCACCCTTCATAGATTCCCCATGTCTCATTCAGTCCTTTAATATAGTTTTTTTTAAGATGTTTTACTCAAAATATTAGATTTATAAAGGATTGCATAACCTAAGGACTCCTTAATCACAGAAGCTTGAAAATCAGTAAATATTCTCCCTTTTGTAGATTTATATTTCATAACAGAAGGTTAAAGATAATTGAAATGCTTTAATTAAAAAGAAATATTTTATTTTGTTTTACTGGGTGTTTGAATATTTCTCAAGTCGTTGAACCAAGGATTTAGAACACTTAGTCTATAAATGGTTATATCAAATAATTTGTTCTAATCGAACTTTTTATTTCCATTTCCTTGACCTCTGGGGAATCCTAGAAATAGACAAGTCTCAATCCTTCTTGATGTCTTTCTTCTCATTTCACAGCTCCATTTTCACCTTACTCTGTGTCTCACCCTCCACCTCAGGGCTTCAGGATAGTAATAATGCAATGGAGAAGTACCAACAGGTGCTTAATGTAGGAGGTCACAGATAGATGGCCATGAGCCAGACTTAGCCAATGGACTGGTTTCAACAGACACATGGGGCTTTAAAATCAGGAAAGTTTACATACAGCATCCTGAAGCCTGGAACAGTCCGGTAGCAATGAGCATGCCTACACAGCCTCAAATAACTAGGCTTTCCACTGCAAGATGGAACATGAACTCACCAGTTGGTGCCAGTACCCATCACTTTCCTGATCACATCTGGCCACTAATTGATTGCCATTGGTACATTTGTTTGGGACCTTTGTCTTAATGAGATTTTGATATGAATGTAGATAAACACTACATTAAGCTCCTCTGACGTGTTCTCTGTGTATTCTTGCCTGTGATAATTACTGAGCATATAGCAAGAAAACCATAATCTCTGCTCTCAAAAAATGTTGCAACTTACCTCCAAGAAATGACTAATAAATATATTAACGCTGTTTATATTAAGTTATCATTCCTCATTGCCACCAGCCACTTGTTTCTAGGCCCTCGGACTTGTCTGAAGAAATAGAAGATGAAGGGCTCTAAGAACAGTGGTCTGAGCTGCTACCACCTTGGCTAACACCCCACCTTAAGGAACCAGAAAGAGCTCACAGGTCTCTTCCAAGCTCTGTGCGAATATGTTCTGGCCATCCAATTCTGGATGATCAGAATTCAAGGTGCTAGTTGGGAAAATGCTGAGTAGTACTAGATGCAGTATTACTCAGAGACCATGTCAAAATCTGGTTAGTATCTCTTATCTGATCACTCGCTTTTATAAAAGAAGAACTCATGGAAACCCCTCACCCCCACAGGAGTGGGAAGAGAAGGCAGTATAGAACCGTCATCACTACGGTGGCTCTGGAGCACTACTTTGAGTCCTGGCTCCCTACCTCCTGGCTGTGTGACCTTACTTAGAGAGGTTGCTTTGTCATTCTGTGCCTCGATTTCCTTTCCTCTAATATGGGGGACATAAATGTATCTGCCTCATAAAGTTGTGACTAGAGTTACAAGCTTTGATAAAGATAATGGGATTAGAACAATATCTGGCACTTAGTGAATGCTCAACAAATATTAGTTCTTACAATGATGGAGACAGTGATGATTGTGGTAGGCTCGAAAAACCGTCATTCATTATTTCCCATACTGACTCTGGCTGCCCTTGTGATTTTCTTAACCAAGGGGAATATAGAAAAGGCCACAAACAGAGCAATACCTGTTCACTGGAGTTCCTTCTCTTTTGTTGTTTTGGGGATGATATAACAACTTGCATGTTCAGAAGCCTGAGCTAGCTTGCTAGAGGATGAGAGATCATGGCCCAGTCATTCCTGTCACCTTGGCTGGTAGCCTGCCAACAGCCATCCACACAGTGATGCCACCCTAGCTTTGAGATCCTCCAACTGCCAGTCCAACCACCACCGCAGATGTGTAAGAAAGCCCAGCAGAGATCAGTTGATTCAGACAAGGAGAACCACCTAGTCAACTCAAAAAACCATTGCTAAATAAATGATTGTGGTGAAAATTCACAATGATTGACGAAATGAGGATGTGTTGAGCACAACGAGTACTTTAATTACATAAAAACTGACTCCACACACTAACCAAATGAGGTCAATTTCATTTTGCAGTTGGGGAAGATTATCTTAGAGAAGTAGAGAAATATAGTCAACCTTACACAGCTAGTAAG